GCGGGGACCCGCCTGCGCTTGGGGTGCGACGCCGCCGCCGTCCCCAGCACGTGCTTGTTCTCTCCAGGGACCTGCGAGAGAACTACTGCCGCAACCCCGACGGGGCGGAGTCGCCCTGGTGCTTCACCACGGACCCGAACGTCCGCGTGGGCTACTGCTCGCAGATCCCCAAGTGCGACGCGGCGAGCGCGCAAGGTAAGGCCAGCGGCGGGAGGGCGGCTCCTCCCGGCCCGCAGCTCTTGCCGCCGGGTAGCAGGCTCAGAGGCGGGTGCTGGGTTTGTGTTCTGCGTTATTGACTCAGCAAGTGGTGACTCGGTGACGGCCTCGAGTGCCGGGCACAGTTCGAGGCTCTGAGACAGCCCTGCGCGCAGGACGAGAGTCTCCGCCCAGAGAACGCGCACAGCAGACAGCGCCGTGGGGAGCGGAGGTGCAGGGCGAGCGTCCCTGGGAATTCGTGACCATGCCCGGGCAGAATTGTGCGCGGTTGGAGGGGGGTTTTGTTGTTGAGTGTTGCAGTGGTCGGGGAAGGTGTTATGTGCTAGGGTCCCACGTGAGCGAGAGCAGCAGGAAGGGAGGGAAGAGATGCGACACGTGCGTGTGTAGGTGAAGAGCCTGATCGTGGAGCAGATGTGTCCGCCCTGTGGCCCGTAGGCCGCTTGTGGCCCTGCAGAGCTAAGAAGATCCTAAACTTAGGTGAGTTTTGCTTCTGCTGTTCACGACTCACATGCATGGCACTCCATCTTCGTGGAGGGCAACAGAAAACTGTGTAGGGGAAGCAACAGGGCAGAGCTGACCCAGCCTCCTGCAGCCGCCACACACTGTCGGTCTAGTGGAAAGGCGTGTGAATCAGATTTTGCAAAAGCTTGTGTGACTAGAGATTAGAGTCGTGCTTTTGGATAATAGTATTTCAAGTTCCCTATGTGTGAATATGTGTGTGTGTGTCTGTGTGTATGTGTGAGAGATGGGGGAAGCAGGCACTTTATTGTTTTTTAGCAGACATGTAAGTTTTCCTATATATATATTAAACTTGGCTTGTGTTATTTTGCAAGATAATTTAATAAGTTGAAATAGTTTTTTAGGAGCTGTGGCACAGGAGGTACAACGTGTCAAATAGTATTTGACAAATAGCCCAGATGTTTCCATACTTAGCAATGCAGCACCACTAATACTAGAAGTGTTACAATATAACATTTGGAAAGGAAACTTAGTGAATTATTTTTTATATGTGGCTCAAGACAGCTCCTCATTACTCTTTCCAGGTCCAGGCGATCACAAAGGTTGGACACCCAGGAGGTACAGGGAAATGCAGAGGACAGTGTGTGCCCTGAGAAAGAGTCAGAGAACTCAGAGAAGAAATTAGTACAACGCTGTGGCAGGTGCAGAATGAGAGACAGAGTTAGAAGGCGCTGGGATGCCTTTGCCTGGGCTTCTTGGCCTTGTTAGGATTTGCATCATAGCTCTGAAGGATGAGGGAGGATGGTCTAGGTCTAGGAGAAGTTATTTGGTGGCTTTAGTTTTGGCTGATCTTTCTGGCTGCCTCGTGGAAAATAGCCCACTTCTCTACAAGAGTTAAGGCAAGAGGACCAGTGCAGTAGTTCTGTCAGTCACCGAGTAGAGATGACCTGGCCCCAGGTGTTAGCATGGGTGATGCACAGTGCTCTGGTTTGGGAAAAATTAATCACCACTGCAAACACAGGTGCTTGATGCTCTTTCAGGAAGTAGTAGGGATATGAGATTGAAATTACTTTAAAATAATTTGTAAATGATTAATAACAGTGTTGAACTCTGGACGTTGTTGGTAGATGACAGATTGAGAATTGTATTTTCAAATGACGGTATATATTTCATGTAAACTTAAAAATGATGGTCCTGTTCACAGTCAGTCCTAAAGCCTCCCCAAAGCCCAATCCTGCCTGACAGCTCCATCTCACACACTCACTGTCCTGTGTAAGCTTCTTCCCCCTGACCCTTCTCCCCGGTGCCCGCAGCCTCACGCAACCCACAGTCTACAGTACAGGGTGCGGGGTGTGGGTCCCTTTTCAGCCTATAGCTTCATCCCCGGCAGAACTGAATGTCAGTGGGAAGTGAAGTTGAAACCAGTGATTAAGGGGTGTTTGGTACCAGTGGAGTCCTCTGCATCCCTGTCTTATTCAATACTGGAACAGTTGTGGCTAATTCGTGAAAGATAGAAAGAAGAACAATTGCTTTATAAGCTTTTGGTGTGTACTAAGCTGTGTTTATATACCTATGTGTCACATATAAGAGGATCAGATGATATAAGTGGATAATATGGTATCTTGGAGTTTAGTTCTTATTATTTACCTGATAAATCTACTCAATAATAGATTAACATAGTTTTATACAATTTAAATGATTTCCCCTAAATTCTCAAATCAGTATATTTGGGGTTCAATTTGATTCTCCTTGCAATAACCTTTCCATTATTCGACGTTTTTCATCTTCAGTTGATTCTACCACAATATGTGATATTGTCTGTCTTTATGATATTTTGCACTTAAGACATGGCAGAGTGTGTCAAGTTCTGTTGAGCTCACTCTAGAAGAAGGCATAGACCCACTGCTTACACCAGTACTGCCAGCCAACTCAGTAGTCAGCTGGGGACTTCTAACTGGAAGCTATGCTGCTATATGATGCTGCTACACTCATGGTAGGCATTGCTACCCACCTGTCTAATTTTTCTCTATGTATAGAAATCTGGACACACACATGAGTATATGAAAGGGTGTTACCCTTACTACTCTCCTTATGACAGGAAATACAAATTTCATGGAGTTTAACGAATTGGAAACATTTTCAAATTTCACAACATCTGAATTAGAATGCATACAAATGTTGCAACTGGACATTAAATAGCACTATTGAAGAAAATAAAAACTGAAGTTGTAGACTTGCTTGAAAGTGTTGATAAAACACTACTTAACAGATTATGCAATACACTTAAGGAAATACACAGAAGATAATTCTTAACTTTAAATATTTGTATTGATGTCAAAATAATAAGTGAATGAAATCTAGCTAAATGAGTAGATGTAAAAGTACGCTAAAAACAAACAGGAGAAAGAATATAGGCAAAATAAAATGAAAATATTAATAAGGTTGAAAAAAAAACTAAATAAATCACTAGTTATAAACTAGTTCTAAACTTTAAAACTAATTGAATAAACTAAATAAATAAATCAACAGCATGGCTTTAAAAAGTGAGAAGATAGTCTACAGACTGAAACAGGAGGAAGCAAAAATATATAAAGGAAAAATTATTAAAGAATATCCCCAGGGATGTAGCTCAGCGGCATAGCACCTGCCTGGCTAGCATGAGGTCAAGAGTTGAATTCCCAGTACCTGAAAAAAGAATATCATATAGAATTGGAAAACAAGGATATCATTTTATTTAACTTTATGTAAAAACATTGAAAATGTAAATAAAAAAGAAAATGTACATGATACAGAAAGCTTAGGTGGATTTATTCTTATAAAAGGATTACAGATTTATTTAAAGAAGTATTTTATCAAAAATACACTGTGCACAGATGAATACTCACATTACACATTTTGTGTGCTGTACTCTGCACCTGTACTTACCAAACAATAAAATTTATTTTTTTATTATATAATATTGGTACCTAAACATATACAGGTAGCGCAGAATAAAAGCTACTATAAAATTATCTCATTTTTGAATACTTATATCAACATTAAATAATTTTAACAAAGAGTCCAAGAAAGAAATATAAAAAAATACATAATGATTAAATGAGTTTAGTCTAAGAATTAAAAAGCATTTAAGTATTAGAAACTATTAACAAAGTTAAATGAAAAAAAATCATGGTAAATTCCAACAGGCTCTGAAATTTCTGTGAAAAGTTCACTCATAGCTTAAAAAATATTCAACGAAGTCAGAATTTATGTTCTTTATATATATGCACATAAACATCCATGTGTACTCATTCACACATACATGGACTTCATTAACAGATAGCATGTTTCAATATAAAATATAGACATACACATAATACATATACATACTCTTACATATATTGGTCACATATATATTTACCTGCATATATAATAAAATCATCACTTGAAGAGGGCAGATTAGGGGTATTCTTGCTAGTGTCCAAATTATATCTACTATCTCTGTGAACATCTAACATTATAAATGCAATTTGACATTGTTTTACTTGAAACATTTTGTTGAAGACACCATTCCAAGTAATTAGACAAGAACATATGTTGATTGAAAAGAAAAATCTCTATGCAAATTATATAATAATACATTTAGAAAATAGAAGTTGAACGATAACATGTACTTTAAGATAGAAGATACCTAATCAATATGGAAATATCACTAACATTTATATATAACTTTGATAATTAAAGGACAAAATGTCATCTATCCTAGAAACAAAGTTTAGGGAAATATAGGAATAAATTTAGAAAGAAATGTATAAAATTTACATAAGATAATTTTTAAGTGATTTAAAAACCGTGAAAGTGTTCTTTAACATGTAGATAATATCTTTTGTAATTGATATTATAACTCAATATCATAAGTGTGTAATTTCTCCCTAAGCTAAATCTTCAAATTTAATGCAATGTTGAGCACATTTTCTGATACTAAGCACATTTATTCTAAAGTTATCAACTAATAAACATTTAAGTATGTCTTGGTTACTTTCTCACTGCTGGCACAACATTTCCTGACACCCACAAGTTAAAGGAGGAAAGGCCTACTTTCGCTCATAGTTTGTAGCGGTTTCAGTCCATGGTCGGCTGGCCCCAAGGCAGGATAACATGGCAGAGGGGCATTGCAGAGGAGAAACAGTCTATGGCCGAGGAGGGAGGAAGGCAGCTACCGTCCAGCCTTCTGGACTTTTATCCCATCCAGACTACAAGCCTGTTGGATGGTGGCATCAACACCCAGAGTGATTCTTCCCATTATCAACACCCAGAACTATGCTAAACCAATTAGTGAACTGAGTTATCACAAACCCTTGATCCAGACACCTCTGGAAAGTCCCACCAGTTAATGCATAAGGCTTTGGGTAACATTTGGATACAAACAGTAGAAAATTATAATAGGAAAATCCTTGAAAAGGAGAGAAACTAGAAGAGTTAACCCTGTCAGAAAGAAGTAATTTTATAATGAGTTTATAATTAAAAGGGCATACCTCTAGCTTCTGAAGATACTGACAAATAGAATGAAGCACGAAGTCTAAAAATAGACCCAAGTGCATATAGATACTTATTAACACATGATGACATGCCACTGGACGAAATGAGGTTTCCAAATATAATAATGAATAAACAGGGTAACTATGTGGGAAAAAAATGGTAAGATTAACATCTCTTACACCATTCCTAAAAGGAAATGTGAAATGGATAAAAGATCTTAGTGTGAAAGTGGAAACCATATAGATCTGGGTCCAGCAGTGCACCGCTGGACACACAGTCATGAGGCTATGCGAGTGCACAGAGATTTCAGCACCACATTAACAGTGACAGCGAAGTGACACATGTCCTCTGGAACTGCCACACTGGAGCAGCGCAGATGTGCAGAAAGAATAATACAACTCTCCACTGACCCATATGGTGTGATTTCTGCATACACGACTAAATTTTTATTTTTATTTTTTTATTTATTTATTTTTTTTTTTGGTTTTTCTCTGGTACCGGGAACCGAACTCACGACCTTGCGCTTGCCAGGCAGGCGCTTTGCCGCTGAGCTAAATCCCCAGCCCCACAACTAAATTTTTAAAAAGAAAAGGAAGGCGCAAAAGTGTGTGTGTGTTGCAAAACAAGAAATAAAGAATGAGATAGAAGAATATTGAGGGAGTGTTCACATAAACCCATACATTTGTACATTTATATTATGTTTGTGTATGTGTTTATATGACTTGTATGTGTTTCTGCTTAGTCTTACCAAAAAATTAAACTAAACACAGACCTGGGGCCCTAGACTGGGACTCAGGGAAGGTGCGATGTGCCTTGGAGTCCAGAGATACGTGGAGGGAAACACACAGAGATACGTGGAGGGAAAAGGAAAAGGGATGCTTTACGGAGCACAACTTTTCATATAGTGTTGACGATTAACCAACATTAATATTTCAAACACCCGAAGAGTAACACCAAAAATAAGGGGAGGAAATAGAGAAATAGGTCAATCCACATGTCAAACAGATACCAGATGATTTTTAAGTAAAACTTATTGACTGTCTATCCTCATTGAGATATATTTTAAGGCTAAAATAACTGTAAATACGTTTTGCATTTATTTATTTAAACATAGGGATTGAACCCAGGACCTTTGCATTGAGCCATATCCCTAGCCTCTTTTTTATTTTTTATTTTGATAAAGGGTCTTATTAAGTCAATAAGTGACCAAGACTGGGCTGGAACTGGCAATCTTCCTGCCTCAGCCTCTCAGAGGCTCAGGTGTGAGCCATTGATTTAATTTTGTTAGTATTAGGATGAAAGAGCTTTGAAATTAGTGTGTGTACATTGTAGTGAGAAAAATGAGCCAGTATTTATGGTGCTTGGAATCAAGGGTTCTACTGTGAGAAAAAGGAGATAAAAACTGAAATGGAGGAGAGGAAGAGTGCTGTGGTGTGTGGTGGAAGTTAGAGCAAGTGTAGTTACTTGTGACAAATAAGTGTGTGTGCACACACACGCACTGCCTAACTTTATCAAATGAAAAGAAGGAGAAATTAGGAAGTGCTTACAAACTCAAGTCTTCCTCTCAAGAACCCATACTCCACAACTGACAGAAGAGGAATGCATCAGACAAGCACAATTTTGGGATATCTTACCAATCCCACTTCTCAGTTCTCTGGACTGCCAGTGTCATCAAAACCAAAGAGAGTGGGCAAGTAGGAAGAAATGTCCAAATGAGATGGGGAATGAAGGAGGAGGAAGGAGGAAGGAAAAAGGGGAGTTAAAGAAAAAGACAATGGAAGGAAGAAATGGAAATAAAGTTTTGGAAATGGGGAGGAGGTGAAAGGTTGAAGGGAGAAGGGGAAAAAAGAATAGTTAAGATGTATTATATACAGGTACAAGTTCCCTATGATGAATGTGATCACTAAGTGTGGCAACCATCTACCAATAAAAAATAAATAATAGAAATAGATAAAAAAGGCCACCATCAGCAACAACAAAAATGAATAAAACAGAGTCTGAGAAACTGTCACATCTACAAGCCTTAGAATACACAAGTGAAGATAATATGTGATCCTGGAAAACAAAAGGAATATTAGGTAAAAACTACAAAAATGTAAAAACAGTAGGTGCTCCAGTGTTGTCACGACCTGAATGGCTCTCAAATTTCCCAGGTGAGGACCGGCAAGAAGGTGAAGAAATGAAGACAAGATACAGAAGGCTTAGATCAGGTGGAGCCCTCTCTCTGGATGAGAGAAAAAGAACTGCTCAATCACCTCAGTGCTTTTATTTATACACTGGGAAGGTTGATGTCATGTGACACCTCTCTGCCTAGCGGCCAATTGCTTAGATTGCTTTGGGCTCCTGGTGTTCTTGGACTGGAGCAACTAGTTCACAAGGCTCACCTTGGGCACTCTTTGTTCTTGGACCTACCTTGCTCCAGCCCCGAACATGTGATCCATCTCTAGCTTCAGCTGTATTCAGATGTATTAATATTAGCTCAGTAGTTGCAAGGGATCTAGTCAGAGTGACGTAACAGGTTGGAAGTAAAGGAAATGATATGGTATGTGGGAAGTCTCTGTGTCATGTTGACAACTTTATCTTAAGCAAAACCTTCTTCTAAAATAAAGCATTTACTAAGGAAAACCTAGTTGATGGCCAACATTCAAAGAAGTTATTGTTGGTGATAGAAAGACCCTTTTAACCTACACAGACAATACAGGTGAACACAACAAAAATGGATAAAGAGTGAGGTGGATACCTAGGACACTTGTTTCTGTTGGCAAAGCCCATACCAAACTGCCAAAATGTCAGATTTCTTGACATAAAAAGATAGTGTTGTCATAGGAAAGTGTTTTCATTGGTTTACTCTTTACATGTGCAAATTTCACAAGTGCTAAGAACAAGTTGATGAGGTCCTGTAATGACCATTACTTTATCTGTATCAAGTCCTAGACTTTTCAGATTTTTATGTTTAAGCCCAAATCCTTAGAGCAGAAATACAAACTTGATCCAAGGATATGAGCACTGACCATTGAAAATACATATTATATGTTTTGACTATTTAAACTACTTCCCAGAAATGATTGAAGTTTTCATTTAATCAATTTTAGTAGGATTGGCTACCTATTATTTATTATAATCACATAGAATATTTAAAAGCCAATGACAAGATGCTGTGTTTTGTCAAATGAAGTGTAGAATACTCATGTTAGTATGCATTTGTAGAGAACATTCTATAGTCAAAGCTTCAGTTTTTTTAATGTAAAATTAGAGATGTTTAATAAAGTCACTTTTTAACTGGCATCTATTATTTATATTTCTGCAATGGTGTTTTTTCCCCTGGTGCTAGGGGTGGAACCCAGGCTTCCAATGAACTACATCACCAGTCCTTTTTATCCTTTATTTGGAGGTACAGTCTCACTGCCTTGTGTGCCTCCCTATACAGGCTGGCCGGGCCTCTGGATTATCCGGGATTCCAGGCCTATGCCTTCACCCCTGGCTGTTATTGTTTAAATATAGATTAATGATTTACAGTGTTAATTTATTTTTGTTAAGAATTTGGGCACTTCTGTCAATGTTAATAGGACACAGATTGCTCAGTTAAACAAAGGGATATAAAACCTCGTCGACCATGGTAAGTGGGGAGTCTGATTAAAGTGGTTGGAGTTGGCCCAGTGATCATTTTGAGCATAGAAATGAATGACAGGGACAGATTATATAGCACATTGAATAAACAGAGAATGCACAAGTCCACATTATGTTTCCAGTTCTACTACCATGCAGCATTTCTATTAAAATAGCTGCATTTCTGAGTCCCAAGTGGAAGGGCTAGGGGAGAAAAGCTTCTGTTTACAAAAGAATACCAACTAAGAGATATAAAGCAATATTAGAAAAACAAACCTTTTACAACCAGCACAGTAATAACTGATTCATGAAAACTCCCCAAAGTACACTTAAGCCATTTTGTGCAAATTCGTTTGGCAGTAGAATGTTTACTCAGTTTCAAAAGCCCCAGCAGATTGTTTTTGCTAAATACGGAGAGAAGTTTTTCCTTGACATCGCTTAGCAGTGGGAGCAGCACTGATGACCAAACTGATGTCACTCTTCACACAGGCCTTGGTGCGCTCCATAGGGTGGAGAGCATCACTCTGCAGGAGTGTGCTCCAGCATCGTTACCGCGATCCCACTCCTGAGCAAGCAGTGAGCAAATTGCAGTCAAAGGCCTTTGTAGAGCAGCTGTGTGGGTGACTCAGGGTGTCCATGACAGAAACCTAAACATGCTGGGTCTATGACTTTTATTACAGTGTTCTTGTAGCTTTTCCATGGAAAGTAATTTGCCAGAAGGAAATACTTGGAATATCTGCATCATTCTAAAAGTTCTCATTTCTTTAGTAGCCTCGTGAGTTGCTCATTGAACTTTTTGGTTTATTATTATTTGTAATATTTGAATTCACAGAAGTACTTATTTTAATGAAAGATAAATTGAACTGGAGATAGAGATATTTTAATGTGAGATAGTTAGGACTCTAATTTTATGGACTTCAGGTTCTTCATTTAATTATATTGATTTTCATTACTTCATAGACTTAGAAAACACTTTGCTTTACCCTTCATAGTATTCATTACCTTCTTTTTGTATATTTTATGTCTAGATTGTTATCGTGGGAATGGAAAGAACTATATGGGCAGTTTATCCAAAACAAGATCTGGACTAACATGTTCGATGTGGGATAAGAACATGGAAGACTTGCACCGGTATGTGAACTCTTTTCAGTACACAGGAGGGGGTGATAGCAGCAGTTAATGTGCATTCGCATACACATGCCTTATTTTTTTCTGTCCTTTTGTCTTAGTAAATCAATACAAACATTAAATTTATTTTCCTCTATAGCTAATAACATTGTCTCTGTATGGAGAAAACTTTTAATATACAGTTCAATCCAACCTACATATATTGAGCTCTTACCGTGCATTCTACCCAGTAATTGGCAATCTGAGGTTTATCAATAAAAAACTCGTACATATTTTAGCTCCACATTTCAAGGAGAATTTGATCACATTGAGAAACGCATTATCTAACTTAAAAAGAAGATGTGTAATTATGTGGTATATGTAGGGTCTCATAGAGGGCATGTTAAAGGATTATTGTTGTAAAATTAACATTAATAGCAATTTGTAAAAATCCATAAATAATCATTTTCATATACATATACATTTTTTTTTTCGTTTTTCTCCGGTACTGGGAATCAAACTCACGACCTTGCACTTGCCAGTGTTGTGCCGCTGAGCTAAATCCCCAGCCCCCATGTACATAAAAATCTTATTCACCTGTCTATTAAAGTGATACAGATTTTCTTGTTTAGCTTTATTATATAAAATTTCATGATTATTTTAGTAATTTATATATAACTTTAAAAATTCTATATACTTCAGAGAATTGGCGATTTTATACTGAACATATTCACAAAGAAATCCACTTGGCCTTAGGAATAGTGCTGTGTTCATAAAATTATGAAACAAGTATGACACATCTTTGTGACTAAAAACAGATTTCAGGTAAATATCCCAGAATATACACAGTAGACACAAAACAGTTCAGGTGTTGATGAAGGGCCTGTCACAAGATTTCTCCACATGAATGCTGATGTCATTGGACCACCATGTTCTAGGGAAGAATTCTATGCGGGAATAAGAATTTAAGGGCTCTGAGAAGTGGAGTCACTTTGTTTCTCTTACTTCAATTTTAAAAACCTTCTTCTCTTCCACAATGTACTCAGTCGTACCTGATACTGTTTCACAAGATGAATTGTTTCAGTTAATTTATTTCATAATATTGATAGTTCTAAAACAGTACTTTCTAATATACATAGAGTGTGTCTCACAAATACAAGCTGCATATAAACTTTTGTGCTTTTAGTAGTCACTTTAAAGAAGTAAAAAATGAATATCCCAAAATTAATGTTAATGTATGTTATTTAACCCAATACTGTATATCTAAAGATTTTTCATTTCAATATGCATTCAACATAAACGTTTTTAATGACACCTCATGTCCTTTTCTTAATATACTACACATTGAAAATCTGGTGTCAGTTTATGCTGGTGAACTTCGTACATGCATTGGTTGCCTACCAGTTGGTCAGGGGCCACACATGCTCAGGGTTCCAGCACTGGAAGCTGAAGTTCTACGACTTCAAAGGGTCTCAGGCGCCAGCAGAGGAAGAGAGTGGACAGGGAATTCCCCTGCCGTGGTGTAAAAATGTGAAAGCAGATTTACGGGATAGGATGGCAAGGCAGAGCTGCCCCGGACGCAGATGACCAGGATGCCCTCCTGAGGGACAGACATTAGCGGGTACATACAGGAGCAGCAGCATTTGGCCAAGGGGAATGCAGAAGAGTAGCAAGATTAAAGTGTTTGAAAACAGGAAATGATTTTGGCAAGGCTGAGAGACTGTAATTTGGTCAGTGTCCACAGAGGAGAAATTCTGCAGAGGCAGTACCTTATTATAAGAGGCCTGTCAGCTGAGAGAAGAGTTTCGATGTTATCCTAAGCCTTAAAATGACTCAGTAAAGAAATCAAAGCAAGAATTAGCATAATTTAAAGTATAAGCTGATTTCAACACTGCTGTTTTCAAAACCGTTTTTAGGAACAGGCAGTTGTGAGTGGGGGTGTATTTGGGTATTCAAGAATTTGAGAGAGAATTGTTCCCATCTCCTGCCAGCACTGCCTTAGGGATTTCCCATGCTTGCAGTTTTCATGTGCAAGTGTTTATACCACGGACATCAGCAAGGCCTCCAAAGGAGTACTTCCCCTGCCGCACCTGTGAGGACAGTTTCTCAGCATGGCCAGCCTGCCACTGCAGATAGGTAGCGTAGTTATGTGGGGAACCCCAGGGTAATAACTCTTACTACAGGGAGGTGAAGTTCAATTTTTGGAACTAGTTAAGTGACTTGGAAAAAAATGTACAGGAAATGAATGTCAAGCTGCAGGGGTACCGTTTTGTTTTAATAACAAACTATGCAAGGAAGAGGTTGAACATTGGTATTTTGAACATTAAATTAGAAAGACTGAAATGTTACTTGGTTATCTGTAGGAAAGACAGATTCTGTAACTATACGGCCAGTAAGATTTTAGAATTTAATTATTTTTGGCACTTTATTATTAACTTTTAGAATATTTTCTGGTTCTTTGTGTCAGTGATACTGATTGTGTTGATTCTTATGCCTCTGAAACATGAAAACCTACTTGTACAACAGCCAGTATTTTCTATGTGTAATTTTAGACTTGGCATCTTCTTACTCTTGCACAGTATTTCTCTGCTTCTATGCACTAGTACTCTTACCTGCCATTGTAGGTAGTTATTAAATAGAAGCAGAGTCACGTAATTTCTCATCATATTGTGAATGAAAATCCCATCTTCAAGTCAGTTTGGGAAAGTGTATCCAGTGCTACCCTGAGGTTAGAAAACATGCTTCCCAACTATAACAGCTGAAACAGTATGGATCTTGACAAAATGGCTAAGGTCCACACCAAGTAGCAGCTTGAGCTGTATCTGTGGGGTAGGGAAGTGCTAAGACTGTATCTTCTTAGTATTGTGTTTCTCATGGATGGAGCAGACCCCTCTGAGGTCTGGCTTGTTGTTCATGCAGTCACATCTTCTGGGAGCCAGATGCCAGTAAGCTGAATAAGAATTACTGCCGGAATCCAGACGACGATGCCCACGGACCCTGGTGTTACACAGGGAATCCCCTCATTCCCTGGGATTATTGCCCCATTTCCCATTGTAAGTTCAGTTAATGTTATTTTTTCTGTTGAAATATTTTAAATGTATTGCATCTCCACTAACATGATTTTTTAATCAGTGCTGTAAATAAAACAGTACTCAAGAGCTGGTTCCAAAATAAGGACATTCTGCAGACAGCAATTCACAAAGACAGACAGACACACATACACACACCCACCCACCCCCACACACACACCCACCCACCCACCCACTCCCACCTGTCTTGGAGATCAGAAGGAATTCTTTTGACTGAATTTAGTTTTTCTCCCTAAGAAACCTCCCATTTGAGATCCAGAGGCAATAAAGGGCCGTGATTCCAATATACGTGGGCTGGAAAGATGCACCCAACGGCAGCCCAGCTCAGCAGGTCCCACGCAGCCAAGGAGCACAGCAGGTCACTTGTGGAGAGTCTCTTGCCCACGAGATCCCAAACAGACCCAAGCAGCCCATCCACCCTTTCAGAGAGTAACATAGTTTTAAACTGATTGAAAGATTTCTCCTCACTTCTGTTTTGTTCCTTCCTTTTCTTCCCTTTTCTGCCTTTTCTTCCCTCCCTGGAGAGTGAGCCCAGGGTCTTCAAAATGCTAAGCAAGCACTCCATCCCTGACCTACAGCCTAGCCCCATTTTTTCTAAATGATGGTTTTACCTCACAGTATCATTGTCTGAAGTCTCCAAGATTAATGATGTTGGCAGCTCATAAAAATATACAGTGATTCAGGGAGAAATTAAAAACAAAGTGATCTTGCATCTAGAAAGCCTGTGTTCCTTTCACATTGACATTCTGCTTTGTGAGACTCACAGCAGTTCAGTGCGGCTTACGTACCTTACATGTTCATTTAAGTGTAAAGTGCTCTCAGAGACTCAGGGCTGTGTGATTCAGTGTATAAAATCCGAAAAGGTACTCTAATAATTGTAAAGTTTTCCAAAAACATTTTCAACTAATCTTTTTAAACTAAGAGTGATGAATGTACAGTTGAAAGACTTTAGGTGTTGCTAGTATTTGATTAAAAGCTATTGGAGATAACTCATGTTTATTTCCATGTATCCTGAACATTAATTTCAATAAATATTTTTACACTATCATTTTTCTAACTGATATTTATAGCCAGAATTTATTTACATTTTCTTTTTGTTGAAAGGCTAATAACATTTATATTTAAAAGATTTGAGTTCTAATTATTTGTTTAACCTCAGTGACTGTATTAATCATTTTCACACTGTACACTTCTGATACAAAATACTTAAATGTTTTTATTCATTTTCTCTAAAATGCTTACAAAAGAACATTTGACATGCATGTTTAAGCTCATCAAACATGCAAAAGTGAAATGTAGATAGTCCTATAAACTTGTATATGCACAGGTTTAGTATATATTACAAAAACCTTAAGTATTAACTATTGAGAGTATAATAGCTGAGTTTCAACTCAGAGTTCCTGAGTAATAAGCTTAGTCCAGTTTGTAAGTGCTTTGGGCGACTTATTTATGACTACGACTCTATTCAAACAATGGTGCAATAAAAGTGTCTACTTTATTGGGCTAGTGTAAAGAGTGTTGCATAGTAAATACTCAAAAATTTCTTAATTTCTATGGTTTTATTTATTCATTCATTCATATGTGTTATTGAGCTTGCATTGTGTAGAAAGCCCTAAATAGTAGGGATACAAAAATTATAGATTTTTAACCTGAATTATCTTACAGCATAGAGAGGAAACATTTTTATAAACAATTACAAAACCATATAACTACATAGTAAACATACGTTAACATTAATATATAAAACAAAATGGGAACACAGATACTTGCTTAGAAAAATATGTGATGTTTTTAAGTTTCAAACTTAAGTGGAAACTTAAAGAATATAGTAAAAGCATGATGTCTTGGTGTTTTGTGTCAAATCCCGTACTTACATTGTGCAGCCATTGGGAAGGAAGGGTCCTGCTTGGGAGTGTACGGAAAATGGGAATGGGACGCAGTGTCTCAGAGCTTAGCTCCCTGTGCACAAGAAGACACTGCTGTCCTTTTTAAAAACCCAGAGCCAGAGAGTCATCAGAGATATGATTTCCAGCAGTATGGAAGCTTATGATAAAGTGCGAGAATTATTGGCTTTGAAGAAGCATGGAACATGCCATTTATTTTTAAAATATTATCATTAAAACCTATAATTTGCAACACCTACAAATGTGTTAGACTTTAAATATTTGAGTAAGATATAATAATGAACTTATTCCCTTGCTGACCAATTAAGCTGATACTTAGAAGAACTAATATGCAATTCAGGATAGGACTACTTCATTCTTTCTCATAACAATGCTAGGAGTAAATATCTAATTATTTAAAGTTTATAAGTAATTGATTTGAGTTTAAAGAACAGTCCTTGTTGACTATGTTCTGCCTCAATTCCACTTTGTACTATAACGTGCAGACTTCAGTGGGCTGTAAGAGAACCTTCCCCCAGGAAAATCAAAAGTGAAAAGAAAATGGTAGAATTTATATGTTCTCCTTTATCTTTATTCATTTACAGTACTTAGATCTGTAAAGTGAAAATAAATAAAAACCTTTTGGTGTGTAGGAATTCCCTCATACCCTCATAAATAGTGGTAAAATTTGCATCCATTCCAAGGGAATCCTTGTGCCACTATTGTTTTGTCCTCAGTGTATCTGAGCACAGGGCATTTCCAGGGATTAAACCCAGCTGCATATGCGTGGAGACTGACTGAACTCCCTCATCAGTTCTGAGCCGTTAGATGTTAAGCTTCAAGAAATGTCTCATGTCTCGTTTATTACTGCACAAGCATTTCCAAACTCCTAGCATCTTCCAAACCTTTCTTCTTTTTTTTTTTTTTTTGGTTTTTCTCCGGTACCGGGAACCGAACTCACGATCTTGCGCTTGCCGGGCAGGCGCTTTGCCACTGAGCTAAATCCCCAGCCCCCAAACCTTTCTTCTTAAAGCAATTAAATCCCAGCAGAGAGGTCAGGAAAAAGGAGTAAGTTACGAGGACTTAGGTAGAATCAGTATGTAGGTTCCAGCATTTTCTTACTTTTCCGTATTTTTTTTTACTAACATCTGGAAAGAAAAGCAATCTTTGAAGTATTCCAAGAAGATACATTATCATCCCTGTTTTTCGAAAAGAGACATTGATTTCTGTCTTTTGGAAGGTTCCAAGGCGTGAACAAATTTAGTTACACCAAGCCATATAAATATAAAAGTAAAGTAATTTTCATTAAAATTTATGTAATTGAGACTTCAATCAAAACAAAGTGACTTACCCGTAGGAGAGGTCCGGTCAGTCAGCAATGAACGTCATCTGCTCGGTGGCGGGCCTGCTGTCCCGGGGAGCCCGGCCACTCCTTGTGCTGGATGTGCGGCTCAGGGTCCTGCACACTTAATCAGCTCACGCTCAGGGAATGAGACTTCCTTGCACATGCCAGTTCATCCAGTAAACATGATAACAGAATTACTCAAAAAGAGGCATTCCATGCTATATTTAACAAAATATCAAGAGTTTTCGTGAATTGTACATTTCCTAAATACTTTGATTTTAGTGTGTAACTATGATTTTGTATAAAGACATACAGAGGTAGTAAATTCTTAATGTATTTAAACACTTATTTTTACAGGTGAAGGGGACACCACACCTACAATCAATTTAGACCGTGAGTAATCTTTCCAGATACAAAGTATATCTGCGTCTCTTACATAAAATAGGACGTAAAATATAAGCTATTTCATATGAGTTTGAAAAAATCACTGTTGTGTACATTTAATTTGGGCCACAGTACATAAAGGGTCCCTTTTATGTGCATCCCCCTCCGAATGAGCCTGGGACACTGAGTCCAGCAGAATGAGCCCGGGACGCGAGGACACTGCACACACTATTTGGCTCGCTCGCTCTTTTTCTTTCTTTCTTTCTTTCTTTCTTATTTTCTTTCTTTCTTTCTTTCTTTCTTTCTTTCTTTCTTTCTTTCTTTCTTTCTTTCTTTCTTTCCTTCCTTTCTTTCTTTCGTTCTTTCTCTGTTCCTCTCTTTTTCTCTCCCCCCTCTCTCTTTCTCTCTCTCTCTCTTTCTTCCTTTTCTCTCTCTTTAAAGCTGCTTGCAAGCCTACTGCTGTTGGGCAGAAGACAACACTGTCAGAGAAGTCCAGTTAATCCTCAGTGGGAGAATCTGTTTCAAGCTGCTTGTTTTTAATTTTCACATATTTCTGGGGCTGGAATAAGTTATTCTTTGGAAGGATCACCTCCAATACCCAGGCTGAGGAAGCAGAAGAAAAGATACTCAAGATGTGGACAGAGTACAAAGGAGAAGATAAGGAACCCAGAGGAGGGTCCAGGAATCACGCTGTCCGAGAATTCTGGGCTATGTCACTGGGACATGGTTATTTGGATGTAGTAATGTCATTTGGGCACACTCTCAATAAGTATACTGTTGGCAGCATGTTCTAAAAAGCTCTACATTCTGACTGTTACAAACTCAGGATAACCAAATCATGTTGCTTTGTTTTGCTCAGGCTGTGGGTTGCTATTGACATGTAGACATAAGCACTGTAAATTGCTTCATTTTTATCTTGACACTAGTAAGGGAAATGCATTAACACTGTACTTGAAAAACTAGGTTTCAGTACATACTGAGCAAAGGCCTGTCACCGTCATGACAAATCTTCACTGCTTTGAGCCCCTTAGTGTTTTCGTGTCACTCCACAGCAGCCCTGAGGATGGCGATGCTAGGGCTCTGTGTGGAACTAACATCGTACATTACCCTTTTTACAAGGGTTCTAATGCAGGTATAGTAGTTACATGTGTGTAGCTAGCGTTGTTCCCAAAGAAATGAAAACACTATGTTTGGTCCTGTTTTCAGATCCTGTAATATCTTGTGCCAAGACAAAGCAGTTGCGAGTGGTTAATGGGATTCCAACACGAACAAATGTAGGATGGATGGTTAGCTTGAAGTACAGGTAATTAGTAATAATACTTGTTTGAACTCTTTGCAGTTACGTTCCCAGCAGCATGGCTGTTTGTGGCCATGAAGTCTATGCCTTCCACCAGGTGCTGGTCTGAGGAGTTTAAAGAAGGTTTGATCTTCACCTGGGGAGTTCAAAGAAGGGTTTGATCAGCTTCTTGCTGCAACATAGGCCCTGGGGTCTGCACCTTGTGCCTCAGACAACCTTTTTAAATGTTCACACAGGTCTTGAATGTGTTGCCCTTGTCCTTGCTTCCAAGAAACATTAGCTCTGATTAAACAAAAAACAACTATGTAGAAGAGCCACTTTTACATAGCACCATAATATTTATGATACAAGTATTACTAACTTTCCGATTATTTCTAACATATCTATGCATAGTCTTATCAGACATGTTATGTTTATTTTTTAATTTCTGACTGTCATTAAATGACAAAAATGACAGTTTAAAATTTCATTGTATTTTATTACGAAGAACATTAACACACTTTTAATAGTTGTACAGTCTTGATTTTATAATCAGTGTGGATAAGGAATTTTAGCCCTAAGCGTCAATGACATGTTCCACATAACATCACTCTGCAGATGATATCATAATACAAAATCAAGCTTAGCAATTGTGCTGTAAGAAGTAAATGTTGAAAACATAAATGCATTTAAAATTGATTACATCTTACCACCTACTTCACAGATTAGCCCAGGTGGTCATTAGAACACCTAGGTCTCCAGCAACCCCCGTCAGGATGTCATCACGCAGCACACCCAGTGCAGCTGACGTTAGCTGAATTTTCCCTTGTGTGGTAGACCCCCTGGCTCCCGCATCTGAGCCTTTATTCCCACTAAGTATTGTGGCTTCCTTCCTCAGTGCTTCGTGCTTGAAAATGCCTCAAGCTTCAAATCCCAACTCATCTAGCTCCTCCGTTAACAAAAAACAAACAAATGAAAAAAATCCTTCTTGTTCCTTCACCCTTAGTCTCCTAGTGCAAGGAAATATATCTCCCATTACTGTTACCGTACATCTCTTATTATCAGTGACATAAGGTAGAACGGAGACAACTAGAAACTGAAGTAGTTTATGAATCTGCCCATTCTTGACCAGCATGGAGTTTGCAGCCTTTGATATATGACTTTAGGTGATTGGAATGTTGCGGGAGATAGCTTAAAGTTATCTCTTAGTGTATATTTTCTCAGGGAATACTTTAGGAGATTGAATATTTATGCCAGTAATTCTACTGTAGCTGTCCTAATCTTGTAGTACTGAAATAGAGTTAGGAAGCCAATTAGAATATGAGTGATTATTCAATATGAAGATTTAATGAAAACCAAATCTTTCGAGTGTTTTATTTTAGAAAATGGTCTTTATAAAAGAAATTTAATTATGTTAATACAAATTTAAGGTTTTTATTATAGAAAATATCGTAAGACTTCACATCTCTCAGTGAACTTAGTGGTTCTTTCCTAACTCATAGCCCCAAAGGGTAAAACAGCTTACACTTCCGAATTATATTTACCAACAGGAGAATACAGAAAGATGGGTTTCTGTTAGTCTTCATTCCTGAGAATCCCAGTAAATATATTCGTAAAACCAGAGAACCACCAACTTTTAAAATTGTTTGCCTTTAAGTCTGTGTTCTTGGTAGCAACAGCTGTTTGGTTAGTCTTCCAAAATATGTACTGAGGGAAGAAAAATTAAAACCCTGTATCTACTCTTATCCTCCTGTGTGGTAGGGGCCATAAATAACCATGCTCTTAGTCTGAGAATCTTCTAGTATTACCCTGTGAAGCACTGAACATCTGTACTCCTTGGAAATGTAAATCATGAAAAGTTGTACTTTTTCCATGTTTCTGCCAAAAATGAATGGACTTAAAGATTTTGGATATCAGGAAATAAATGTACTAGTGCTTATTATTTCCTATAAATATTTTACAGATTCTTAAATGACTTGTCTGGCAAGATTGTTTTACTTTCATGAAATATTTTAATGAAATATTATATTGTGGGTCTTATACTGAACAGATAGTTTTCAAACTCAGTAATACTTCAACATATCAAAATTTACCAGTGGTAGAGAAGAGGGAACAATAGCACATGTCACTACCACTGAATTGTTTTCACAGTAAAATAAGACTTAATGAGTATTTTTAATAATGCACATATGGAATTCCAAACAGTTCAGGTTTTTTATCATTCTGTTGAATAATTACAAACATATCTTTATCTCACAAAGATAAATGTATGTGTGGGGAGTAGAAATTATTGTTAAATGACAGTTCTTTAAGTAATAAAAATTCATTTAATAAAATTGTAATCACCTTATTAAAAATTTTAATGTTATAATCCCCAGATATCATCCTTGAGATAAAAGGATTGCTACCAAGTTTATTCTAATTGGGTGAATGTCTACATGTAGCACATTTATTTTTAACCAGTGGAGCCATAGGTTTTGCATTAATTGGCAGCCACTCTTTCTGTGCAGATGTTCCTTGTTTTCTTTTCTCTTTTTCTTAGAAATAAACATATCTGTGGAGGATCGTTGATAAAGGAAAGTTGGATCCTTACTGCAAGACAGTGTTTCCCTGCTAGGTAAAGTGTTTTTTAAATCAAGATTAGTTTTCAGCGTTCAAAAATAAGTGCCTCCTTCTTCTTAGCTGTTTAAAAAATATTTTATTGGTACATTTTAGATATATGTAATGATCACATTCATTCTAAAGAATTTGTGCTTGTACATGATACGTCTTAATTCTTTTTATCCCATTCCCCTTCCTTCCCTTCAACTTTGTTTCCCCTCCTTATTTTAAGCTTAGAATATGCCTTTATTTTACAGAGGTGCCCTAGCATGAGGTGAACAAGTTAAGTTTCTAAAATTTAGCTTACACACTTTAACCTCACTGATATTTTCTTGTTTAGTATTACTTCAATTGACTGCTTTTCATGCTAGCACACTCTCACTTGGGAAAAATGTTTCCTTACACTATGTAAATAAATTATGTTCCAGCCTTCCACTTGCATTCTTAGTTCTGCAGAGAAATTCTTTTTCCTAAATTACCAACAAATTCTCTCACTCTTTGCTTCTCCTTTCTTATGTGGAATGATCCCCAGAATTGCCCTGGGAATAGATTTCAATGAAAAGTAGCTGTAAGTAAAGATAAGGGGTGAGCTGTTGTGAACTTACATCCTAGTTCTTATCGAGGTCACTTTGATTTTGTTTGTTTAAAACTCCAGTCCTTATTATTAAAGCAAATATATACACAGCTGAGATAAAGCAAAGTTTGCAGAGAAATTATAATTCATGTAAAGAATTTTACCTGAATGTTCATAAGTGACTAACTCCCTAGAAAATATAATCAAAGTGTTTTAAAATAGTCATGTAGATTTCAGCAATTTGAAAGCCTTCTGTTTACATATGTTTATAGGATTCAGTCTCCCAGTGCAGATGTGTTGCACTTTTTTTTTTTTTTTTTCTTTCCAGACAGGATCTTGCTATGTAGCTCAGGCTGGCTTTGAACTGATGGCAGTCCTCTTCCCTCAGCCTCCTGAATGCTGGGGGTCTTTACTATACTTTGAATCAAATGCTAAATTTAAGTTGTTCATCTTACAAGCTAAAATAAAGATATATACAAATAATATTGCACAGTAGGGACTGTGATTTACATGCTTTTTTAAAATACTTAGAAACAAAGACTTGAAGGATTACGAAGCTTGGCTTGGAATCCACGACGTCCACGGTCGCGGCAACGAGAAGCACACACAGGTTCGAAATGTGTCCCAGCTGGTGTACGGGCCCGAAGGGTCGGACCTGGTGTTACTGAAGCTCACCAGGTTAGTCCTGCAGATTTGGCGATGTTGACCAAGACCACAATGGCTGAAGTGTTTTTCTTCAGCTGTGTGGCCATCCTCTCTGTCCACATGTATTTATTATCTTGTATGTTCATGTCACACACACATACACATGTGTGTGCGGTGCAGAAAAGAATACTTAGAAAGATGTCAAATATGGATAAATGAAGCTGGGCCAACAGTCTGGTCAGCCTGTTTTCAAACGGTTTAGTGAGCGATTACTTGATAACTTTGAAAAGTGCAAAATAATACATTTTTCCAAGGGGAAGGAGTACTTATTCTTAAGTAAGAACAAGTACATATTCATTTCTCTACTACCTATTCCAAATTTGGTCATTATCATTATACTTTCTTTTTTTCCATTTTTAAATAAGGAAGATTTCTTTCTCTTTAAATATTATCCATGAACTTTGCATTTCAGATGCTAACACTGTTGAATCCAGGGCCAGCAGTACCATTCTATTTCCTCTTTTCAGGCCTGCTGTCCTGGATGACTTTGTGAGCACCATTGACTTGCCTAATTATGGGTGCACCATTCCTGAGAAGACCACTTGCAGTGTTTACGGCTGGGGCTACACTGGATGTAAGCGATTTTTCAAAAGATGAGGCAATGTTACATTGATTTCATTTGTAAACGTAATTCATGTGTTCCTCCTGCTCCCTGGCCTGTGGCAGTGCCCACTAACCACGCGTGCTTTTCCCCGTGCAGTGATAAATGCGGATGGCCTGCTGCGTGTAGCACACCTCTACATCATGGGCAACGAGAGGTGCGCCCAGCACCACCAAGGCAAGGTGACCCTGAATGAGTCTGAAATATGTGCCGGGGCCGAGAAGATCGGGTCGGGGCCGTGCGAGGTAACAGCAGGCTCTTTAGGAAAGACACTCCGGGTGGTAGCATAGTTTCCTGTGTGCAAGAGAGAACCCTGAACTGGTTTACGCCTTTATTTGGATCAATAGTGAAACGTCGTGCCTCATCCCCAACATATTCCGACGACAGTTGCCTTTCAAGCGAACAGTGAATGCATATAGCCAGAGCTCCACAGAAATCTGTATGATACCATAGCTCACACATTCCTAATGTTTTCCTAAACTTATCTGATCTTCCCAAAGTCTCCCTAAATGAACTTCATGGAAATGTTGAGATACATGCCTGGTTTTAAACTTCCAAATGTGTTTTTGGTTAGGCTGTGTGTGTGTGCTTGTGCATGCGTGTGTAAACAAAGTCTATTTTTAAAAGCTTTAAGGTCAAAGTGTGCGACTCCAAGAGCTTGGACATTTTCATTTGTCAGGCAACTGCTCTTCCAACTTGGCGGGGCTCCTGTCCCTGCTCCACACAGCAAGCTGTTCATCTGTAATTTCAGATGTGCTTAGCATGAGACGCAAGCGCTCCGCGCTCCAGCGCTGCGTACAGCGAGCGTAGTGTGTATGTAAAGCCTGAAATGGGCTCAGTGATCGTGGAATGCCTCCTGGTATGCAAGAAAATGTGTGCCCTGGGACTGGATCATAAATATGCATTGAAATGTGTGTGTTAGCGCCTTGCGCTGAGATTTTTATTCCTGAAGAGAAAACATTTACTAAGTTAACGACGTTTTAGAACTGCTTTTGAAAGATATAATTAGAAACAGATTATGTGTTTATAAACACTTTCAAATTTGGTGTCTTTCCAGAAAATGAGCATTATTGTTTTACAAAGGAAACCCTAGAAGAAAAAAGATAATTTTCTGTTTAGCCCCTGAGTTCTGTGAGCTCACAGTTTGTGAGCTAGACCCAGCTCAGAGCTCATCGCCTTTACTAATGGTAGCCTAGCTTTTCAAGCACAGCCTTTGGTCTAAATTAAGAATATATCCGTTCTTAATTTCTTTACTTTAGTCTTGAAGCATTCATACCTTTAGCTCACTTTGTTACTTTTATTTTTATTGGTGACTTGAATTTAATTGGATTCTGCCACTTGTCAAAAATACATTTCTCCTCCAAAATGTGTGTGTGTGTGTGTGTGTGTGTGTGTATGTGTATGTGTATTTGTGCACATTGAGAATAAGGCAATTTAGCCACTGAAGGAAATTTGGAAGAGAAATCTCTCAAATGTGTATGTGGTAGCAGTGGCATCACATCTACAAAAATGGCATCATGTTTCCAATGTCAGCTGCTTTGAAGAGCTCATATCAGGAATCACTCATGCATTCACAAAAGTTTTTATCACAAGGTAGACTTCATACAAAATCTCTTACAGTAAATATTTTCCTTACTGTTAATATTTTTTCTTCAGCACACCTTAATATTCCCCATCATAGAATACTGGTGGCTTTTTTCTTTCTATGTGTGTCACAGAACCAGTTTCTGCTGTAATTTAGATTTATCTGAATTATTCCCCATTTTTAAGGGGAAATTACAATTGTGCCATATACTCTTATTTACATAGGGATGCCCAAAGCCAGCCGATTGCATGTGTAGGAGGCTGCGTGGTATATGAAAATGATGTGACATAGTTGTTAGGGTTCTGCAGAGCAGAATGTGTATCTCCATATGCATGGATAATTACATATAGCCCTCTGTGGATATGTATGCCCAGAAAAACACATGTATCCATCGGTCTGCATCATCCTTCCACTATCTTTAGTAATACCACAGTGTTGATGTCTAAAAAATTCTACAGAAGCTTCTGCTGCACTCCTGAAAGAGGGTATGGGTAAAGATCTAACTGTAGAAACTACTAATGCCAATAATAAGTAAAGAAATATTTCTTGCCTTGAAATAAAACTTCCAAACAGTATATAGAATTATTTTATCAACTAGAAGCTTCTTATTTAACTTGGTAAGATTATCTGAGGACAAACTGGGGGAAAAGAAAAAAACAGTTTTAGAAATAAGTGAAAGTGTAATGGTTTAGTCATTAGAACCATATCATAATTACTTTTACTCATATTTTCTCTGCGTTTTTCAGATTTTTCTATTTTTAACAAAGTGGGGCCACCAGAAGATCAAAATAAACATAAATAGGTTTTATTTAGTAGATGTCATTGGTTGTTTTTTTCCACATCCAGTAAAGGGAAAAGTACTTTAAAGGGCAGGTTAATGTTTTGGAAACAGCGAGCCATGCGTAAGTGAAGGCTACGCACGGCGATCCCTCTGTACTTACCTCGGCCTTCCTTGGCTGATCCCACAGAAGGACGACCAGGGCCCGAGAGACACACGTTTCCGTCCACTTCCGCTTCAGTGGAAGTTGTTCCCTGTGTCCGTGTTGGAGGTGCAGGTCAGTCGAGGGTGGTGCCATTGAGTTGTATTTATAATTTCCGAATTAACACGTTGTTGCTCTGCCCTCCTCCTTCCTAGGGGGATTACGGCGGCCCACTCGTCTGTGAGCAGCACAAGATGCAGATGATTCTCGGTGTCATCGTTCCTGGCCGGGGTTGTGCCATCCCCAACCGCCCTGGTATTTTTGTCCGAGTAGCCTATTATGCAAAGTGGATACACAAAATAATTCTAACATACAAGGTACCGCAGTCGTAGCTGAAGTGCATGTGACTGAAGCATCCATCAGCACATGATACTTTCACAAGATTTCAGAGAATGTGGAGTGGAATTGTCACCTAATGCAACTACTTGAGTGTCATGTTTGTTAAGATACTCATTAATATATGTGGGTGTTTTCTGTTATGTTTGTCAGTGTTATTTTGTAAATGTTGAAGTGAATTAAGGTACATGCACGTGCAGTAACATAACTCCTGAAGATACTTGAATGGATTAAAAAATGCAAAAGGTGTAATTGCTGGGTTATAAAGGATTTAATGGAATAGATCAGTTAATCTCTTCACGCTGCTTTCCAACGTTAGTTTCTTAATGATGAATAAACCATGCGTTAAGTATTATTTTAACCTCACCCAAACAGTTTATACCTTGTGATCTTAAATTGTAACTGTATTAAATTCTGTTACCTTTCATGTGCCATACATGATAGCTCATTCAGTTCTCACTGTGTACCCTGAAACAGTGGTACACAAACTCACTTTCACAAAACCCTACACCTATTACCTGTACCTGGGTACATTTATGCTGTGTGCCACAGTTCAAATCATGTGGTATCTAGTGTAATCTCTAAATAGTTTAGAGGTATGGAGATGAAATTTTTCAAGAAAAAAATGAGAAATTTCTAAAGATCAGTAAAAATGTTACAGGTGAGATAAAAGAGAGAAGTGACTGTCTTCTGTATGTAATTTATAGATGACCTCTACTGGAGGGTTTGTAAACTGAGTTTTAGGACCTACAGAGTTAAATATTTCCTAATCTAGGTGTTTACATATTTATTATCCTTGTGTACTTTCTAATTCTTAAAGGGAAGAGAATAATACATATATTGATATTATTTCTTTCCTCCAACCTAGGGTCACTACTTATGCAAGGTATTTGTAGATCTGTGATCCAAAGTATTTCTTAAATTTTCAAATTGTACCTGACTTGAGAAATGCAAAAAGTTCTTGGTCATTAAAAAGGTATTAAAATAGCTTAATTCCAAGACTTTCTGCTGTGATTGGATTCTAGTTCACATTCCTTAAATTCAAAATATAGAATATATAAGAACAATTTCCATATGCTTCCAAAGTTTTTTAAATAACTCTTCACTGAATTATGTATTAAACTAAACATTAAATTAAAAAACAAAAAGATGTTTCTCAACCTGGAAATATTTTACCATACTAATACTTTATTCAAGTAAAGGGAAAATTATAAGTGGAAGGAACTATTTTGTCTAGATCTGTATTCAGATTTTTTAAATGTATATTTGAATCTGCTGAATTGGATATTTTATCAAAATATCTTCATTTTATGTTATTTAATTTAACATAGGTCTTTCCTATTGCCATGGGAAATACCTGTATAAATTTTGTGTTCTGTATGCTAATAGCCAAATTGTTATATTTATTATTCTATTTGGCATGACTAGCTAATAATCATATATTTGTCAAGAAATGAGATTTAAAAGGAACAATGGGATAGGCTTTCAATTTTCACAAAATCTTCTGGTATAGACAAAGCATAATTTGAGTGGCTTGAATCCACTTTCCAATTTCTCTGACTTGGTTCTCTTGTGTCATCTGTATTAAGGCCACGAATCCAAACAATGTCCTAAGCATTCTCCAGAGTACTGTTCAATCTGGAGTAAGTTAGTTCTAAATTTACAGAGGAGCTTAGTCCATGGAGGGTAGGACAGTGAATACAGAAATGCTTATGCAAACTGTGCCAATTTTTAAATTTTCTTTTGGAAGATTTTTTTGGTAATAAAGTAGATCCTGGTATGAGGAAACAGTGGAAACAAAGAATTGCAAGTGGTTAGCAGTCCACATAACCCTAAGTTAGTTGCGTCTCTCTCCCCGTTACAAATAAAAGCACAGAAACTTCAACAGTGTATTGTCAAAATATTAAAGTGCTTTGCCTAGTTTCTTCCTGTTGAAATTGCCAAACTCTGTTAAGTGACATAGTTATCCTTTCAGTACATGTTTTGTAATAATTGCCATACTTTAAAATACTCACATTTTAAAATATTTCTTGCATGTCATTTTCTGTAAATTTCCATGAAGACAGATAAGGATTAACCTAAATATAAGATGCAGCTAATTTTTTAGATATTTTGAACTGGTGTTTGCTGTTTTATGAAAGGGTAAAAATAACATGAGTAAATCACCAAACAGAATACAAATCAGCTCTCTCCCTGGTAGGGTTAGGTTTCCATACAGTGCCATGGGGGTGACTGACCATCTACAACATCCATGGTATGTTCTCTGGCAGGACAGGGTATAAACGCATTATTCCCTGGTGAAAGATTCTGTTTATTGGGTATTTTTCTCTGAATAAACCTCAAAATAATGAAAAAGTTCAATTTATCCAGAAATCCATTTTGTTATAATCATGGTAAAAGGGCCTTTTAAGTTAAAATTTGTAATGCTGTTTGTTCTGGCTGTTTGAATAACGGTTTTATGCTGTTCTAATTGTAGACATTTTCCTATGTCTACCAGAAATAGAAATGTAAAATTAAAATATTTGTCATAATGCCTCTGCTGTGCAGAAGGGATGATAATCCTTTTGTATACTTCTTTAATTTTATTGTAAAATGTATAGTAACTTTTACCTGTTTGCTGTGGGCAGGTCCTCAGTACAGTGGTCTCTATCGAGTCGATCTCTAGGATTAACAGCCTCTTGCTTGCTCTCTAAGTGTGTCCAGCAGCCAGCGGAGTGTGAGGCCCTGGGGGCAAGCAGTTCACAGTCATGGCATGTGATAGCACAACTGTATTTCACTTATTCCTGTGAATAGATCTTGTTGGTACCAATGGTACCCTACACAGTGAATGTTCTAGCCACAACATTCTCTTGGAAAGGACACTGCCAAGAAGTGAGAAATGGCTGTCAGGCATTTTCTTGTGTTTTCTAAACTTTAAAAAGAAATACTAGCTTTGCAATATAAAGATCATGAGGTAAAGAGTTGTAATAAATTCTATACTAAAAAGTCTTGTATTGACTTACTGAAGTTCAAAGAAATAACTAATTTTAATTATGTATCATATTAATAGAAAAACTCACTTGAATTGAGTAAGATGACATATTTGTCTTTTCAAAATGAATAATTTTACTAAATTACTTTTCATGATTAAGTCCAAACAAGTAATTTATTTCTCAATATTCAACTAATGCAAAAAAGGCTAAAAATTTCTAGACTTTATAACTCTTTGCAGTGTAACTTCTAAGTAGGTTCATTTCCATTTGCACAGAAAGTTTCTGTCTTTAGGAAACTGAAAGTGGAATACTGTGGATATGACTGTCATATGTGTAAATAGGAAATCAATAAGCTGCCTATTGAGTGGTATAGCTAGATGCTTACCCAAAAAAGGGAACACTGTGGTTATGACTTGTACTATAAAGTTTCTGTAGTTAATAAAGTTGTTATTTTTATAACCATGATATTATTCTTAATAATAATAAAATATTTTATCAAAATGCTTCTTTTGTCTTTTGTAATTATATGCATGCACATATTTCTGTCCTAGGACTTGAATTCAGAAAACAGGAACAACATCAATTTCATGGGCAGAAATGTCATGTACTTCGGTATAGGAAACAGCATATAATTATTTATGGAACTGAGAAAAAATTTATTCCAACTTTTATCCATTGTAATATCAGTGATTTTCATTAATCCAGTAATTTGATTTCTCTAAATGTAAAACATATTTAGTCATTTATTATGTTTGCGAGACTGATGCTACATTATAATTTGCCACTACATACAAAATATTGTGAATGGTCACTTGAGTTTCTTAACCATATCACTGCATGTTACAAAAGTGATTTTAAATTAGTCCATTAGTCAATTTCAGGTATCTTTTCAAGATACACAGTAAGTTCAGTAAATAAATGGATTCATTTACTTCATATTGGAAAAACTATTAATGATGTAACCATCAAGAACTCTGTAAAAAAAAAAATTGTCATACCATTCATTTCTCAAACAGTAGCATCCCAACAAAATGCTTTACTAATTATTCTGGTATAGACACTGATCTTAAGGGATGATTAACATATCTACTTGTGTAACCCATGAAAAATACCTGATTTTTAAATGATCATGATTGGAACAGAAGCTACTCTTAAGATTCCACCAAGAACATTGAAAATACATATTCAGGAGATTTAAGTTTTGACGTTATCTCTTTTTCTAGACCTCCATTTCATTTAGTTTAGATTTTATGTAGAATCATTAGGAAACCTTTAGGAGCTGGAATTTGAATAGGTTCACAATGAAGCGGGGGCACACTGTGAAAACCTGGCTTAAAACAAATACTTGGACAAGGTAGTTGTTGGTTTCCTAACACTGTTGATTTGTTTCCCTCTTGGAGATTGTGGTGCTCTAATTAGTCACCTTTTCCACTGTCGAGGGAGCATCATCGCAGTCCGCATTTGCTCTGTGTTTCGGTCCAGTTCTGTCAACTGCTCCGTTTCTTTACTCCCCTCCGCGTGTGCCACCCAGGCCCTGTGCAACCCTAAGAGAGCTTTCAATCTCCCTTTTGCCAAGTTTCAAGCCTTGCTTGTAAGAGTAACATTAAAGGTTTTATTGCACATAGCCTGTGTTTTGTTTTGCTCCTTATATTTGCAAATATCTCAGAGGCACATGTTCTTTATGAAAGCTGAAAGGTGAAGGTAACTTCAAGGTAAAGGGTAATAGAGCAAACATGACAGTATTATGAGGACTTCTTACCTAAAGCATCTAACAAGACAGATGACCTGGCAAATGAAGTGCACTCATAATGGGAAAAAGGTGTCATATTACAGGCTATTTATAGTGTACTTATGCTTTAAAAATTGATAACGACATCAAAAAACAAAAACTATGAATCAGACATACTGTCCAGCTGCAAAGTGGACGTAACCACTGCGCAGTACTCCTGAAAGCTCATCGCAGTATGTCTACCGCATCTGAGCACATCACACACCAGCCTCGTGCCTGCGTCCATCCCACACTGCACTTGGAACCTTCCGACTTCGGAATTCCTGTGGAACTCTGTCCTTCACACACTAACCAGAAGTCATCCCCGCCTCAGCCAGTCGAAGCCCTGAATGCTTGAAGTGCTGCCTTTTCTCATATTTTAAATAATTCACATAGGACTATATTGGATAAGTTACTCTTTACTTATGTACTTAATTTAATTAATTAATTATTTATTTGGGGTGCTGGGCATTGGAAGCAGGGCCTCGGGCACACTAGACAGTTGCTCTACCACTTAGCTGTATCCCAGTCTTGTTTCATTCATTTTAAACTTTGAGACAAGGTCTTGCTGAATTGCCCAAGCTGGCCTTGAGCTTGCCCTCCTTTTGCCTCATTCTCCTAAGTCACTGAGCTCACAGCTGTGTGGCACCATGCCCAACCATCTGAGTTCATTTCTTACGTGCAATCGGCTCCATTCCATGCACCTTGCTTCTGTCTCGACTCCTGTGGACACCCCTGCAGTGAACATGGGTTTGCAGAAGTTTTCTGAACTTTCTGATTTCATCGCCTTGAACATGCCCCCAGTGGTGGGATTACTGGATCATCTGGTAGTTCTGATTTTAAACTTTAGGGGCCAAAGCACATTGTTTCCCTAAGGACTGAACTGTATTTACATGACCACCAACAGTGCAGTGGTCAGTGGTTCTCATCTCCCACATTTCTCTCAGCACTTGCTTTTTTTCTTTCCTCTCGCCCTCCCTCCTCTCTCTCTCTTCCACCTCACTCTTGTCTTTTTCCCGTCTCTTTCATATCTTTCTACATTTTCTTTTTCTTTCTTTTTGTCTCTTTTATTTTTTCTGGCACTAGACATTATTGGGATAAGCAGCATCTCATGTGGTTTTGATTTACGTGTTTCTGATGATTAAGAAGGTAGAACATTTTTTCATATGTCTGTTGGCCATTTGCACTCTTCGCCTGGAGAACTGTGTATTTACTGTCATTTTCATCAAATTTCACAAATATATTTACTTACTATTTTTGTTATAGTTGCTTGAGTTCTTTACCCCTTGTCAGATGTACAGTTTATAAATATTTTAGCCAATTCCATAAGTTGTTTTTCATACTTTTGTTTGCTTCCTTAATGATGCAGAAGCTTTTTAGTCTGTGTAATCCCATTTTCCCAATTTTCTTGTTTTCTGTGCTTTTTCTGCCTTATCAGATAAATCCTTGCCCATCTCAATAGACCAAGGCTTTCCCTGTGTTTTCTTCTAGTTCTTTCATAGGTACTAGAAATATTGGATGTAAAATAGGATGTAAATAGGTACTTAAATATAGGATGCAAAACACTAGGATGTATTTTGCATCCTATATTTAAGTGGTTAGTCCATCTTGTGCTGATTTTTATATCTGGTGAGATAAGGTCTAATTTCCCTTTTCTGCATGTGGATATCTAGTGTTTTTTAGATTGTTTAAGAGCCTCTCCCTCTTGATTGCATATTCTTGATTGTTTTGTAGAAGATCAGTCAAACGTAGATTTGTGGGTGTACTTTTGCGATCCCTGTTCTGTTCCAGTTTTCTGTGCCTGTTTTTATGTCAATGTATTGTTCTTATCTTTTTTTTGTACTGGGAATCGAACTCAGGACCTTGCTCTTGGCAGGCAGGCACTTGTGCCACTGAGCTGTATCCCCCTCCCAATGCATTGGTCTTCTGTTATACCTTTGTAGTATGTTCTAAATTCAGGCACTTTAATGCTTCTTGCTTTTATAACCCTCAAGATGGCTTTGGCTACTAGGGGTATTTTTGTAGTCCCATAGGAATGTTAAGATTGCTTTTTGTAGTTCTGCAAATTGTGTCATGGTTATTTTGATAGGAACTATACTGAATCTGTTGATTACTTGACAACTTACTTGACATGATTTACTTGACATTTTAACAATGTTAACACTGTCAGTCCATAAACACTGGATGCTTTTCCATTGTGTGTGACCCCTTCAATTTCTTTGATCAACATTCTCATTGTAGAGTTCTTTCCTCTTTCTGGTTAAATTTATTCCTGAATACTCATTGTCATTGTAAATTTTAAATTAATTTTTTCAGATACTTTGCTAGTGATATATAGAAATACTACTGATTTATATGTTGGTTTGTATTCTGAAGCTTTGCTGAATTTCCTTGTTCTAATAATACTGTTTTGGTGGAATCTTTAGGATTTTCTAAGGATAAGATCACACTCAAACAATGACAGTTTGACTTCCTCATGTCCAACTTAGGTGTCCTTCATTTCTCTGTCTTGCCTGGTAACTCTGGCCGCAACTTTCAGCACAATGCTAAATAAAAGTGGGAAAAAGAAGGCTTTCAAAATCTTGTTCCAGATCTTATAAACAAAGTGTTCAACTTTTGCTCATTCAGTATGATAATAGCTGTTGGCTTTTTATATGTGACCTTTGTTATGTTAAGGTATGTTCCTTCTGTACTGAATTTTTTATAATTTTTAATCATGAGATGTTTTATGTCTGTGGTTATGGTCCCATTTACTTTTTCCGTACTGGGGATTGAACTGCTCTACCACTGAGCTACTTTCCCAGTTGCGTGGGCTTTGTCCTTTGTTCTGTTGATGTGATACATCATCTTTAATGGTCCTTACATGTTGAATTAGTTTTGTATCCCTACAATGAATTACTCTTGATTATGGTGAATAATCTTTTGATATGCTGTTAAGTTTAGTTTGCTAATATTTTTCAGGATATTTTTTCATCTGTGTTCATCAAGAATATTGTGCTATAGCTTTCATTATTGTGTATCCTTGTCTGGTTTTGGTACAAGGGTATTTCTGGCCATAGAAACAGATGTAGGAAGAATTCCCTCTAAAAAATAAAATAGTTGTTAACTTTTTAAAAGTTTCTGTATATTTGTAAAAGAGGTTAAAAATAAAAATGGAAAATTAGATTTTAGTTTGCTAAGGGATAAAGGTGTCTACTTTACCCAGTTAAAACAGCTTAGATTATCCTTGTGAACATTTTCCCTTCTGGGTTTTCCATGAAGGGTTGATGTCAGAGCACTGAGGGGGAAAGGATCACGTCAGTTGTTTCAAGAATACCCTTGGTCAACAGCAGTCTCTCAGCCCTCAAGCGCAAACTGCTCATCTGCTGTGCATTACAAAATTTCACAACATCATCTTTGTGGCTTAATTAGCAAATGGTTTTCATTTCATAGGGTTCTCTTTAACAGAAAGAAATCAACATAGGTAGCAATGAAATGGGACATAATTTGCAATTTAATTTCTCTGCATGTTTTTTAAACTTTCAAAAGATACAGTCAGGTTTTCAGACTCCCAAGGTTTTAGATCTAAAAGTCTAGATGGAATCAGAGTTTAGAATGTATTGCTGTGCTCCAAAATGAAGAATTTACATCTTTCAGGAGAAAATGATTAGTGATTTAATGAGTGGATATTTGACTTTATAAAACAATAAAAATGATGAAGATGTGTAGATCAGATAAGAGAAAATTGAAGAGTGTG